ATAGGTATAGGTCAGTTGGTAGGTGGAGGAACATGGGGTCAGCTTCCTTTTTAACATTTATGCGAAGAATTTTGGAGTCTGGTGACAAACCCAAGGCTGCTGCTTTGATCCTCTGCTCCCCTAACAATCGGCTCACCACAGCAGAAACACGCAGGGCAAGGATTTCTAGTTTCATTCTTGCTGACACAAATCAAGTGCAGGTTTCTCAAGCTGTGAAGTATATTAAGTTCAGAGAGTTTTAACAAAGGACTACCAAACCGCAGAACCACGCTGCGAGTCACACTTCTTTCAGATGTTCTTTTAATTATATTAAATGAAAGTTTTAGGCACTTTGATGCTGATGGGCAAACATCTCGATCTCTTGAAAAAGCTGCTGAAAGTACTCCCTGTAGCTATAGTTAATATACAACATTGTATGCACACTGCTGGCCAATTTATTCCAACCACTTTAACAATGATACCTCGCCTGACAGGCTGTGCAGAATAGCATCAAGAGTCAAGCAATGCACAAATCATTAGAGGGCTCTGAAAGTTGTTTGACATACACTGCAGAGCTCTTTGTCATACAGCCAATTAAGTGACCAAACAAGGAACTTGAAAACGTTCATTAATTTGCCCCTTTTTATATAAATGGAGGTTAGAGTCTTTCTTATCACAGGCACAACAAAAACACAGGCAAAACGAGCATAATTCAATTTGTGCTCCCTCTCAGAGCTGCAAGTTTCTTTCGTTTAGTCTTCATGGAAGTTGGGACCAGTCATGCAAGCAAGAGAGAAGTGGGACAAACAGAATTAATCCACTTTAAATAGTACTGGCTAAGTCCCAGATGCACCTTTTATCTGCTGAGAACTACTGGGTTAGCAAAAAAAAAAAAAAAAAAAAAAATGTATAAAGCTGACCTTTGCTGGCATTTCTAAACTTAATGCCTTGAATCCTCTGAGGAAAGCCTTTCATTTTTTGCTTAGTACAGCAATTTAAACAGCCCATGCTCCAAGTGTGAAGTGTTCAGAAAACTTCCAGGAGAACCAGAAGGACAACTCTGACTGCAACCACCCGCCACTGTCTGATACCTGGAGCCTGCCAGCACGTCAGCACCAGCTTCATGAGTGGCTCTAATGACACGTGCACTCAGAAGCTCTTGTGATTGTCACAGAGCAGGTGGCACCTCCATAATCTTTCCCATTTGCTATACAGACCAGCGCAGCATTACCAACAGGGGCGGCGGATTTACAGAACAACTCAGGATGTCAGGAACCAGAGCAGCAAACATCTTTAGACAAGGAAAATGCTGCCTCCTTTCACCCCTTTCACAAAGTTGCCACTCACATTGTTGTATTCACCAGCTTCCAGCTTTGAAAACACTGAGACTGACTTTGTAAAATAAAATTTAAAAAAAAAATAACTAAAAGAATGGGAACCCTGTGAAGTTTTAGTCTTGCAAGACCCTCATCCCAAAAGCAGCATGCAATTTCACATGGGAAGAGGCCAGTGGCTGACATCACAGGAAAAATCATTGGCCTCATGATGCTCCAGAGTTGCAGCCCACAAATCCAAGTGAAGCAAGGAGATGAGCTCAGATTTTGCAATCAGATGAAGGTATGATAAAAAGACTGCAAGCACAAGTGTAGTACGAGTCTTCATTAAAGCTTGTGATTCCAGATACTAAATATTACAGCAAAATTCTCCAATTTTTCCCCCATGTTTAAGTTTTCTGTGTTATATGGCCTCACTTATGACATTATGTGAGTACTCAGCCCTACTTTTTTCCTTCACTACCCCACCTCCATTCCTAGAAGCCAGGAGAATTGCATCCATGGCATTTTAAGTAGGGGAGCTGAGAAACACTGAGCACATGACACTTGCTGAGGGACATGGAAGAAATCTGTGACACAAAACCCAGTTTCACAACCTCCAAAATACAAAAATTTCTGTTTTATACAACCCTAGTGCTTCAGTTAAAGGAGAAACACCTTGGGAAAATGAACAAATATAAATTCTAAAAAAAATTACAAAAAATTCATACTAGCTTACATCACACACCAGTCACCAAACTAAGCTATGCTAATCAAATGCATCACCCATTGTGACTCATTCTCCCATGGGATGACTTTTCCATCCCTTTCCCAAAATAAAGCGCAAGAACAGTGCACTGCAGAAAGGTGGGCATGAGAGATGTAGATCTCTGCTCTCCAAAAAGCCACACTCTTAGCAAATGGAGCACCTTTTTGAGGCCACTCTGCCATCTTGGTCAGCTCAGCCTAAGCTGACTATTAATTAGTATCATAAATTAAAGCCCCTGTGGCTTTAAGATTGAAAAATCTTCCAGCAATTGCCTGGTCATTATATCATTATGTCTTTATCATGTCACCTCTCAGGTTGGTTCTTGTTGGATTTTTGAGACAAAAAAAATCATTTACTGCACTTGAAACTAAAGAAGCAGCATTTTTAACCTCCAGTAAACAAAATCTTTGAGCTTTTAAATCAACCAATACTGTGAAACTGAACAAATTAAATCAGTATTTGTTATAAATATAAAGGTACCCAAAGGGATGAGATGACCATCTGATAATTTATTCCCAGTCTCATATTTGAATAAGTCACAAAATTTCTCAAACTGTTTGGCATATTTATTTATAGTCATTTATTTTGGCCTTAAGAGGACTTCACACCCCAATTGCTTCAGGGGCTCTGTCATGGCTACCTAAATTTTCAGCCAAAGAAAACAGTAAGACTGATTTTAGCAATTATTATCTTCTCAAGTCACCCTCACCCTCCCAAAAATCCACTTTTTTGATATTTGTAATTTCTGGACATCTCTCACATAAACTTCATACTGCACTTTGCTTTGTCTAGGGAGCACAGAACAGAAGGTACACTTCCAGCCCTGTAAGCCTAATTCAGCCATGAAGGCTTTTTAAAATAATGGGATTAGCATAAGGAGATCATGTTAGCAAAGTTGAACGCTATTTCTCTGCCCTCAGAGAATGGCGTGATTTCCCATCTCCCATTGACTTTACAAAGTCCATGGTTTCACCATTTAAGATTTGTTGAAAAATCTCTGCTAAATTTCCTTAGTCAGCTCAGACATTTCACCACCTGGTAAAGGATAAGTAACAGGAGTATCTGCAGTCACATTTAATTGCTATTACAGATAACCTCGCCTTCACAAGATTTTTTGATGATTTTAGATACACAATTTTCCAAATGGAAAACTGTATGAAAATATGTCCAGATACATTATTTTACCTCCATATAGTACAAAGCAGAGTTGGAAAGGTTCAATTAGGTCATCTAATTCATTCTTCAAGCCCTCTGTTACAGGACTGTCCTCTTCAATATATGTACCACATTTGTCCATATTTATACTAAAGGGCTTAAGCAATGAGCTTTCATCAGTTTTTGTCTACTGAAAAAGTAGGTGCATGATTAATGTTTAAACACACAATCTGCCTTTCCAAGTGAAAGGGAAGGAGTCCTTGAAATTAAGGGTAAACTGGAGTTTGTGTAGAATATTCAGGCTTTATTCTATGAAGGCCAAGCTTTCTGCAGAGTATATTAAACTCACCAATCCCTGTTGTTTGAAAAATGACAGAAAAAGACCAGGCATATGCATCAACTCTGTATGCCTGTGCAGCTAGTGGAAAGGACAACTATGGATCAGGTAGCACCAAGGCCCCCAACAAGATCGTGTAGCCCACAGTCAAATCAGCCTCACCACATTTCCAGTGGTAGCAGTAGACAAGACAGCTAGCTTGGGAGTGAGCATTGCACTGCAAACTTTCCCAAATTCCTTCAAACTAGAAAACTAGCTGCTTTCTCTGGGATACCAGACAAGGGATGTGTAACTCCATAACTCATCTTTATCCCTTAATGTATATGGAAGGGAAAAGGTGACTCTCTCAGGACATTTTCCAAAGGGAAGACAAACAGCTTACCAGCTCAGAGAGGTTTTATTTTATTTCTAATGTTCTAGAAATCAAGACCATCTAATCCCACAGGCTAAATAAAATACACACTCACAAAATAAAGTCAGTACTGATTGTAGGAAGTTGAATTTTGTAGGAAAGTTCAGTTATAAACAGTCCCCTCTAGAAACATAGGGTTCATTTTTACATCTCTGTGTGTTACACATACACATATAAATAATACTCAACCACCCATAAATACAACATCAATGTTCACAAGCACAAGACAGAAATTAGAAGGTAAAACATTCACATTTCTTAAAGCAGCATTAACTCACCCACAGTATACAAACAGGTTTATATAAAAGTCACTGGAGCAATGTTATAAGGCAAGGTGACAGGATTAAAAAAATAACCCAAGGTCCCACCTTGAAAAGCCTACAAGAAGGTCTTTCCAGAATGTTGGGTCTTGACTTTGTTCATATCAAAATATGAGGTAAGCCTATGAAAGTTGGGTCAGAGCTGGATGAATTTCATGGGATGTTATGTTCCTAACTCTATACTTATAATTTGCAGCACTCTCCTCCTTCCTACATCCCTCTGTGAGACTCTGCATTTCATTATGATCCTACCTCCTCCCTCATGCCAAGTGTTGCCATTTTGAATTGTTTCTAAATTTGAAAGGGTAAGGGAGGAAGAAAGAAAACAGGAAATGCAGGTGGCAGTTATGTGAGTGACATGCTGTAAGCAAAATCCAGCTGGTCTGGAGAAACCTCCGTGAGCAGCAACTTTGCATTCTTTACTTGCATACATCTATACTGTCCTGCTTATTCAGATGGCCATATAAGCCTTGTCAGATCTCTTCTGTGTTTTTTTCCATTTTCTGATTCAGAGATTTTGCCTGAATTTTCGTCAAGTCTGAGAGCAATGGGGCAGGTGGGGTGACGTGAAAAATGACATTATTATCCTGTAACCTTAACCTTAGAACTTGCTGCCACAAAGGCGGTAGTAATCAGATTATTCACAGAGACAAGACTCACTTCACAGTCATTCAGTCAAACAACTGGACACGTGTATTAAAAATACAAGAAATACCTGGACATAGGCCCTGCAAGAGCGCTCCCTTTTCTGAAGCTGAGTCCATAAAGAGAGCAGATTAAAGACGGAATAGAAAAAACAAGTTAGTGACAGAACAAGGGAAAAAATTGAAGAAAATGCCTATGAAAAAAACCACCTCATTTCTCTCTTAAACAAGTTCTGAAAAGCAACCAAACCAAAGGAGTGATTGTGTGTTAAGCAGCAGTGGAAGACTGGAAGGACTTGCTCCAGAAATATGGGTTAGTCCTTTTTCGGTGAAGTAAAGCACAGACTGGCAACTTTGCAAGAGCAGCTGTTAGATGGTGGGAGATACTGAAGTCTAGTAGAGATACTCAAGAGATGATGTTTTCCTTGCATCTTGGAGATCACACATGACATTTCCACGTCAAACAAGGCTGAAAAGGATGAGGCTGAGTGGTTATTTACATAAGAGGAGCGTGGGCTCTACAGTCAGACAGTGCTGATGGCACAGTGAAAGCTTCAGAAGATTCCAGGGAGCAAGATGTGTGCAGGACTGCATTCTGATACAGAATGGACCTGTATGGACCCATCCTGACAGACCTGCTCAGGTCTCTGTCAAGACAAAACCTGTAATGTTTAGGCTTCACTGCTGTGGGCTTGTGTAAAGCCAGCTCAGGCACGTCTAGTGTGATAACACATTGTATTGAAGGAGAGAGCATTGCACAGGGCTCCTGATAGTGCAAGGGCCACTGAAGAAGATATATCAATGAAATGGGAATTCAATTTAGTATTTCCAATTAAGGCCATTCTCTCCCTTTTGTATTAAACCAATTCTCCAGGGATACACTATCCATTCCTTTCACGTCAAGTTGTGCTTTCCTTTGTAATTCCTAGGCCTAAATGCTTTATATGCTGAATAGCTTTTCCACAAAGAATCCCACCTTTTCCATAGGAGCTACATTTAGGACTGTACTTTGATATTCATTCCTCATGCCTGACAACTGCACTTTTGTGTATCATGAAATTCAAACAGGCACCTCTTTACCTCCATGGGACCTTGCAGGCATTCTGCAGCAGTGCACAAGAATTGGTGAGCTCTACATTACTGCAATTAAACCTTGCAAAATCAGGCTGCTCAGAGCCACTGGCCTGACTGGGTTTGCTTTTGCTGATGTCCCTGGTTGGAAACTGCACATCAATAGAGATTCAGGACAACTTGTACTCTCAACACACAGCAGTGCAATCCCATTAGTACAGCTGAGAGCCAAATTTGTCCCCAAGAGTTTTGAGGCTCTGAAATAAACAAAATACACCCAGGTATCATAAAATGCCTGATTTCAATCTCTAATTCATCAATTTGTAACAGCAGAAAACTTCCTCTGGGTAAATCTGGCCAGTACGAAGACTTTACAGAAACAAATGGAGATCAAAGAAAGCCTTGCTGAAAATTACAGAGCTATCCACTCAGGGGTCTGCCCAGTCTGCAATGGAACAATTATTACCTTAATTAAGCCTGATCCAGTGGAAAGCATAAAGCTTTTAGTGACAGGAAAGTGACTCCTGAAAGATGATGGCTTTTAAAAACTCTGATTATGACAGTTAATTTCAATTCATTGTACACCAGCTTGTTAAAAAAAAAACCCACCAGTAAAAAGCAGCACAGGATCCTCAGCACATTTCCTTTAATGATTAAAAGAATATTTAATGGCTGGTGCTTACTTTATTTCTTCTTTCTGACTAAACAGCACTAAACAAAACTCTTTGCAAATTACTTTTTTTCCTTTTTTTTTTTTTAAATACTCTTGATCACCGAAGAGGAAAATGGAGCAGTAACTCTGCTGCCTTTTGTTTGCCCAATACTACTTCCAAGTTGAATTCATGCATTCTTAAATGAACACAAGCAGTTGCTCTTCTAAAGAATTAAGTGGGGAATGAGAGCAAGTAAATTACTGAGCCTGTCATTTGGATCACTGACTCGCATCGCTGTTTTGCAGGACTCCACGTGGTCTGGAATTTTAATGTGGAGCGCAATTGATTTGTATGAGTTGCTTGTGCAAAGCTGATGGCAAGGGGAAGAAACCTGCAATGGGGACCCCAGGAATGACAGCTGAGCCAAGAAGCTCTGCCTTGTCCGGTCTTCCCCTCCCCTCAGTAACTCACACCTGCCCCCAGGATACAACCCCATTTCATGTAATTGAAACAAATACTGTGAAGTGACATATAAAAAGATGAAAAATATGTGCTTGCAAAGCTGAAGTGACAAAATGTTGGGTGTGGCTGGGACACATCCAGAAGAGCAAGCAGACTACAACCATGAAACCTGTTAGTAGGTGACATTAATTGCTAGTTTTACCTGATGTTGTCAGACATCACCATCATTTAAACAAAGACCCATGGTATGATTATAACAAATAATGTTATGCTGATGTAACAGTTAATAAAATTATTACCCACATTGTTAAAAATAGCTGGAAGCAGCACTAATTAAAAGCATTGGGATAACCCAATTCACAGCACATGCAAAGCACATGAGATGCAGGACTTCAGTTCCCATGTGACTGAAATGTTAAACAATCCCGAAGCCCTTTGCATTTAAAATAGCATCAGTCTATGATAATACCTTACGAGAAAAAAGACTGTGTTACTTCTCTGAAAAGCATTTATCTTCATAAGACACCGAATAAATTTCAGGTTTAGCTAGGATCATTTATTCCCTCTATAATCTTGGGACTAAGTTCTGTTCATGCTTACATGAATGTCAGAACTGTCAGAGCCTGACAGGCAGCTGGGAACAAAATTCTGTGTCTTATTTTAACTGGGTGGCCAATATAACCACATATTCTCATAGTCACAGGGTTCAGCTGCTCTTTGTTCTAAGAGCCAGGCCTGCACAGTTCCCTGTCAGAATCCTCGGTAAGTCCTATCCCACATGTTTACATGATACTTAGTGATAAAGAGGGCCTTTGACTAAGGAAACCCTCAGCTTTAAATGTATTCTTACATACTCCACAGCTCATATTTCCTGCCACAACTGGCAACTCCTAGCACCTTTACTGCTATGTAGCAATTCCACTTACTTCTGGAAATGACAAAAGGACTAATAATTCTTCTTAAACTGGGGCACAGAAACCACACTGTTGTCACGCAATAAGGTGCTTCTGGGTTCAGTCATGGGTTATCACTAAAAAGGCCCTCTAATACTAAAGCACCCTGAAACCCAATGTATAAATATGATGATGTCTTATGTCCCTTTTGTAAATGTATCTCCAGTGTAAATGAATGTTTCTCTCTGCCTCTGTTTATATTCGTGCATAGAAGTGTTCATTTAACCTTCACATCAGCCTCCTGTCCCCTCCTGAGCCCCTTTGTTTTTACCTTATTTAAGCTGCGTGCAGCACTGTCCTTCCCGCCTGGAGTCAGGTTCCGGAGCTGCACGTCGAGCAAGTTCACCAGCTGGACCATGGCGGACACGGAGTACGCGATGTCACCGGCGTACAGGTGGTTTTTGGTGTGCTCCGCGAGCTCCCGGGCAATGTTGGCAGCCATCTCCCCCGACTTCATCTGCAGTCGGGAAAACAGAGGAAAAGGTTGTCCCCAGCTGCTAATGTGATGTTACTCCAGTCCCTTCCAATCCCACAGTTTTAAGCAAGTTAACTCCTCTCAAGAAGAAGAAAAAGAAAAGAAATGAAAAAGAGGAGAAGAAAAGGAGAATAGAAGAATTTCCCAAGAAGTAAACCACATCAAGGGTCTTCATCTTTTTACCATAAACAGTGTTTAGAGTATGGTTATAAATGTGTTTTTTCCAGCTATAGTCACCCATGTTGGCTTCAACAATTTCTTCTCATGGGGCACTGTTTTCCATGGGATGCCCATGCTAATGAAGACTTTAATTAGCTTGTTCCACTGCCTTACCTATGCCACTTGAAAAAAAACAAACCATATAAACAGTCTCTCCTGTCAAGGAAGAGCAGTTTCTGATTCCAGAAGGTTACCTGATGATAAGTGATGATTTTTGTTACAACTCCTGCACAAAAATGTTCCTTGTGAAAGGAACAAAAATAGATGACATAACCCAGATCAACCAGAGAATAAAGTTCACAGTTCCCATCTTACGGATTTAATAATCAGGTGCTAATTTATCACTCAGCATTTGCACGCAGGCTCCTTATCACACAGGCTACACCATCTATAATGGGGCTAGTGACTCTCAGCACGTATAAAAGCATACTAACTCATGACCAAAAGGCTTAAGGTTTCAAGCAGAGGCCCACTGGAAGGGAAAACCCAGCAGACTGTTCGGTTGAATCTTCTATTAAAAGACTTTTATCGTGTAGTTGAGTCACAAAACTCACAAATCACCTGCAGTGAAATTCACTGTGTAATTATTTGCGAAACTCTCATTTTGTCCCCTGTGGCTTTTTCCTCTTTCTTGCTGTGTTTTGCTCTCCCTATCTGCTCCCCCTTTTCTATGCCATGGGGATCTGGGACAGGGCAGTTGGTCCCATCTCCTTTTTATGAGAAGCCCACTACAAAAACACTATTACAAGTAGCATATATATGCCAGGGATAAGGAGAAATTACACAGGATGACACTTTAACAAAGCTCCCACTTCTCTGTCAGGCTCAATGATCAACTCTGCTGGGCTCTTCATATGAATTTCCAATTGTTTTATCTTCCAAGAGCTAAAAATCAGATATTTCTCTTGTTCCCTCAATTTCTGGTGCTTATTATAAAAGCAAGATTCTAGGGAAAGATTATAGGCTGAGCTTCTACCTCTCTGTAAATCAATTAGCTGAGTTATAAATGAATAACTTACTTTTATCAATTTGACAGCAACACCCCATCTGATTTAATGAAATCTAACTGAATATGTTCATATGCTCGTCCTCAGAGAATTAAAGCATATGATGATATAGAGAAGATAAATAAAGGAGATAATATGTTGTTCTTCCCATTAGAGCAGTGATAACATATATTCAAAAACTAAATTATTTCTTCCTCGTTGCACAGAAGGCTAATGCCATAGAAACCAGATCCTATTCTTACAGCTGCCTGCTCTCCTAAGCAGCTGAAGAAAGCCACACATCAGCACAGAGGCTGAATTTTGACCTCTTCTGTTGGCTCTCAGAACTTTAAAGAATGACTGCATCAAATCCCTTTACATAAAGAAATCAATTTCAACATTTTCCTGCGGTTCATCGCTGGAGCTTAGCATGTATCATGACACATTGTGTTTCTGTAAGCTTTGCAGAAAACTGCAGGAATTCAAGACTTTTTTAAAAATATATTAGAAAAGAAAATCCCTGCTACCCAATATGCGATGCTCACATTTTCACTTGGACCACAAACCTATGCAAACTGGCACGCTCAGAGAAAATTGCTGAGGTGCTACAAAGACAAAGACAAGAGTTTTCTTTCCCTGCAGGTTGCTGTTGTTCCTATCTGTCTGCTAAAGTAGTGTGGGCTGGTCACTAATAAACCCTTTCCCTTTTCTCTTGTACTGACCCTAAAAACTGCAAAGCTGAGGAATTCTAGTGTGGCCAAATAAACAACACAAAAAATACGTAACAATTGAAGAAATGCCCCAGAAAAAGGCAGACTAAAGCTCAAAATCTGTGCACTCCTGGGACACAGAAGTATTTACCCAAACTTTTTCACATGCCCAGGTGTCCTGAAAACACAGAGATGTGCCATTCCCTTGGGACAACGTTTTTGGTTGACAGGTAATGAAGCTACTTCTTAGCACTGACAATTCCAAACCCATACACTGTCATACCGAAAATGCAGGTACAAGTCACTACAGCAGTGCTGAGACACTCGTCCATTCTGGCTGCACGCATGAGGGGGCGTCCAAAATGATGGCTGTGTGACATGCTAATGCTAATGTCTCCAATTCTTTTAGAGCATTTTCCACCAAAACTGAAGTGCAATTCTGTCAGATCCAACTTCTACTATCAGTCCCAAATGCTGGCTGAATATGCCAGGGCTAAGATATATATCTGGTCCCTTATAACAGGATTGAGACCCTTTTTTTGGTTAATTCTACATAATGCTCAGCAAAGCTTACTGCTGCCCAAGAGGATGTATTACTAACTTACTTCCCTTCTATAAAGCACTTCTCCACATCTTCCTCTTCTTTATTGCTGCATGGAAAACAAGCTCTTCACAACTTACTTCTTCCAAAACATGTAACACTCTTTAACCCAAACTAACATAGTTATATAGGAACACGGGAACAACCCTTAAGAGGTTCTTCAGTGGTCAGGTTGTAACTGAGAGGTAAGCAAGAAGCAGGGAAAAATGTGCAAGTAACTGACCTTTTTACTGGGAGGCTCAAGAAAAAAAAAAGGGAATTAAAAATAATGTATCTTTTTATGATTTGAGTCAACTTTTTAAAACTTTCTATCTTGATTATGAAAAAAAAAACAAACTTAAAAACCAAAAAGGATTCTGGGATAAAAGAAAACATTCTGTTCAAAGCAAACTGGGTTTCTGGGTTTTTTTGGCTGATATTTTTCCTTTTACAAAGTGATTAAATCTAGTCTTAGAGTGCTAATTTGAAGGTGAGAAAAAATGTTTCTCAATAATGAATAATATTTAATGAAGAATAATAACGTTTCTCACTAATGTCAACACACAAAACATAGTTTTATAGCTTTGCAAAAAAAATTGTTCCCCTCTTCTATTTGGACATAATGGCAGGATTCAGGCTAGATTTACAAATGATCATTGGCACACCTGAAATCCCTCTGTGAAACACTATGCTAATATTTCCAAATTTGTATCATTATCTTGCACCTTCTTATGACTGAAAAGACTGTGAAATAATAGTTGTCAGAGAGGACATACATTCCTGCCTGTTTCATATATGTCAATGAACAGAAGCAGGGAGTTTTGCCTGGAAAGACCAACAAAGACCCTCATGCAGCAGGTGCTCACCATTTCAGCCCCACCTTTCTCAGAGGGAACTGACTGCAGAAGAGGACAGTAGAATAAAAATGAGAGAAACTGCAAAAAAATAGCTATTTAGGGAAGAAAACTTGGAAGAAGTAAGAAAGATACTGGGAAGGGAGTGAATGTGTTAAAGCACCAGTAGTCATAAAAGCAAAAATATTTTCCTGCAGCCCAAGGCTGACTGATATCAAAAAAGAAAAAGATGATAAGAAAGATTGAACTAAGATTTTTAAGAACAGTGACATAGAGATGGACTGGTCAGCTGGAAAGACCATGAAGTTGATGCTGTTTTCTGGAGGGACAAACAGCTGACAGGTTTCATCAGGCAACATTAGTCAGATAGCAAGGCTATAACATGGGCTGTGAGCTAACTTTTGACACTGTGAAGACTTCACGGCCTTTTTCTTTCCCTAGCAGAAATTTCAACATACATGTGTGCGTTCATAAAAGAGAGTCAGAGCATATATGTCATCCTTTTCTTTTATTTTGAATCACAGAATTGATTAGGTTGAAAAATACCTCTGAGATTATCAAGTCCCACCTATGAGCAAACACCACCATGTCAACTAGACCATGGCACCAAGTGCCACACTCAGTCTCTTCATAAATACCTCCAGGGATGGTCCTGGACCGTCCTCCTGGGCAGTCCATTCCAATGTCTAATCTCCCTTTCCGTGAAGAATTTTCTCCTAATGTCCAACGTAAACCTCCCCTGGCACAGTCTAAGACTCTGTCCTCTTGTCTATCCTGTTGATGGTTGCCTGGGAGAAGAGGCTGACCCCCACCTGGCTACAATCTCCTTTCAGGTAGTTGTAGAGAGTTGCAGAGAGTGATAAGTCTCCCTTCAAGCCTCCTTTTCTCCAGGCTAAACTCCACCTCCCTCAGCTGCTCCTCATAAGATTTGTGTTCCAGATCCTTCACCAGCTTCATTGCTGTTCTCTGGACTTGCTCCAGCACCTCAATGTCTTTCTTTCTGAGTACAGAGGGACAATCACTGCTCTGGTCCTGCAGGCCAGGATGCCATTGGCCTTCTTAGCCACCTGGACACGCTGCTGGCTCATGTTCAGCCGCTGTCAACCAGCACCTCCAGGTCCTTTTCCACTGAGCTGCCTTCCAACCACTCTGCCCCCAGCCTGTAGCACTGCATAGAGTTATTGTAGCTAAAGTGCAGGACCTGGCACTTGGTCTTGTTGAACCTCATACCACTGGTCTCAGCCCATCCATCTAGCCTGTCTACACCCTCTGCAGAGCCTTCCTATTCTCCAGCAGAGAATTGGCACTCCCACCACATGAACAACCCATTCCATTCAACTTTCCTTTTTTCTTTTATTGGATGATACCCAAGGATATAACTAACTAATTAAACACAGGTTATCCAACAGAGAGTTGGATCGCTGCTCTCCATATAATACAGCAGAGCTAGAGAACACTGAAAAAGTGGTTTTGAAATTACAGTATTCAAACAACTTAAACTGCATTTTATGACCCTTTAATAATACATCAGCCATGGCATCTGGTCCATCCTGTCCATGACAGCACTCTGAAAACAGACTGTCAAAAGCAACTTGGACGAAGGATTTCATCATGGTGTCATCAGGACTGCAACTTCACCCGCAGCCCTGGACACTACGACGTGGTGATGTCCTACACAAAACCTCACTTCCTTTGCAATGCATGCCCAAGCAGATCTACAATACCTGAGGAAGGTACTATGAACCCTAAGGTTCATCTGCTCTTTGTGAGGACATGATCTAGGCCGCTCAGGAGGACATGTAAATCTAAAGCATGTGCTTTAGATTTACAGACTGTATCTTTGTGTGCATTCCTGAAGGACACAAAAGCTTTCTGTTCTGCTACAAAAGAGGTCTCCTCCCTTTCAGTGGCTTGAAGCTGAGCATAGTGGTGCCTGTCCTCCCAGGCAGTACCCAAAACTGAAAGCTGCAGCAAGGAAGAGATATTTTCAGGCAAGTCACACACTGCGCTAAGGATGTTGCTGATGAAAGCAAGAGGTAAAACAAACAGGCTGAGACTGAATGTATGACCCCATGATCAGGACGATGCAATGTATCCAAAGCTGACCTTTTTGCTTCCTGTTACTGTATGACTCCAGAAATAACCCAGGTAGCAGTGCATAATTCAATTGCACTGGCAAGTTTATTCTCCTGCTATGTTATGAGGGCACGGTAGGCACCAACAATAAAGTTAAAGTAAATGTCAGGAGGCCAATGAATTGCTGAAGCGAACATTTGTTCTGATCTTCCATCAAGCACAATAACTCTAATGGAAGCTAAGAAATGGCTGTAAAACCTAATACCGTGATGCAAGCAGGCAAACACCAGTCTGAGTACAGCAGGAGAAAGAAAGAAGTAAATAATAATCCTTCCTTCACTACAGAGATATGAAAGCAAACACAGCATTTCCCCACCATCTTTTCTGGCTGAAATCCCTCCAGGGGACCCATCACCCTTCTTCCTGAGCAGGGTGGAAGTTTGGACCCAGCAGGTGACAGAAGCGGAGATTATTGGGAGACAAAGCAGATTAGGAATGAAGACACTGAGCAGGTATGAACCCTGGTTGCCAAAAAAGTATTTCTACCCATTTTGTCAGCTGTGCTGCAGCTGCAGACGCTGTGGGATGGGTGGCCCAGTGAGGACCCAGGAGAGCTAGGGATGCAGGGGAGCTGAGCTGCAGGGTGTGAGCATCTCTGTCCTCATGGCACAGCTGGCTTACTGCTTCTTCTATCTGCCCCCATAGCAACAAGAAGAAAAGCTGGCTTGGCTTAGAGGAGGAAGGTTCCTTTTTCATCTTTAGAGAGGTCCTGGAGCAAATCTGCAAGCCCGCAGAAGGGAAGTATCCCATCCACAGCAGGGATGTGAGAAACAAGTTCTTGATTTATGGATAAATCAGTCTCCATCTCTTAAGTGCAGCAATGATTTTCTAGCCTCTTGCTTGGGCAGAGAAACCAAGCAGCTATTGGTTATTTTGGAATTAATTTAAAATTGTGTTTACTCTAAGGATCCTACTGAATCTTAAAGGCAGGACATCCCCATGAGCCGAAAGATGAACTGGTGGGGAATTAGATAGGCCTGGCTGAACAGAGAGCTCTGGCTGGAATGAAAGGAAAAATGGAGAGCTTATGACTTCTGGAAAAAGGGGCAGGTAACTAAGGAGGACTACAAGGATGTCGTGAGGTTATACAGGGAGAAAATTAGCAGGGTCAAAGCTCAACTAGAACTTTGTATGTCTACTGCCACAAAAGACAATAAAAATGTTTCTCTAAATACACTTACAACAAAAGGAGGGCTAAGGAGAATCTCCATCCTTTATTGGATATGAGGGCAAACATAGTGACCAGGGAAGTAGTTGAGTCACCAGCCCTGAAGGGATTTAAAAGACATGCAGATGTAGCACTTAGGGACATGGATTTATGGTGGACATGGCAGCTTTGGGTGAATGGTTGGACTCAATAATCTTAGAGGTCTTTTCCAACCAAAATGATTCAGTGAATGCAAATCCCAACACAAACCCCTAGGCAAGCCAGACAGGGCTTTCCCCTCAAAAGTCACTCCTGGAAAATCTTGATGTTTTGTAACAACTCTCCATAGACAATGGGTCACATAACCCAAGATCCCAGTGAATTTCCACCCAGGTAAAATGAGATCCAGGGTAATTTGGTAGATTCCCAAATATCAACTGGTGGAAGGTTCCCAAAGCCAAACATAACTAAGTTCCTTCAAGAAAGAAAAAACAAAATCAAGTCCCAGTTGTAACCTGGTGGGCATTTCTGAAAACCTGGGTGTTCAATTTTAGCCTGCTATGAAAGCGTGTAACAAATTAAATGGGGCTCATTTGTTACGCAAATGATAGCTAGAGTTTCAAATAAAATAAGCCTAACCCTGATGAAGATTTCATCAGTGCAGGCTATTATTTCCCTCTGCTAATGGCTTACGGCCTAGTCATCTTCACCGAGCAGCAAGAGGTCTCCCAGCTGCCTGGGTGAATTATGGCTGGAGTAAGTAATATTAACCCCTCCAGGATCAGTACATAGGTCATAAAACAAGAGCTGCACAGCTGCTAATGCCAGCAAAGGCAGTCTTTATTAATCAGCTTGCTGGGCATATGGCAAGAGAGATGCCCACCCTCCTGCGTGGGACAGAACTATGGGCTTTGGAAGGGCTGCACCATATCACAGCAGTCCGATGTTACTGATGTCTTCCCTGCCTTTGGGGACGGACGGGTATAAACACAGACGAAGCGAGACAGTGATGATCAGGGGCATACGTGCAATTCACAGGCTGCTGAGCCTCAGTTAAGATGAGGGACAGGGAGCAGTGGTTCTTTGGGAGTGCAGTGTTATCACTAGTGGGGTTCCCCAGGGCTCCATCTGAGGCCCTGTGCTCTTCAACATGTTCATAAACAACTTGAACACAGGACTGGAAGGGATACTAAGCAAGTTTGCAGATGACACAAAACTCAGAGGAGCTGCTGACTCCCTCGAAGGCAGGAAGGTCCTGCAGAGAGACCTCAGCAAATTAGAAAACTGGGCAATAATCAACCATATGAAGTTCAACAAGGGGAAGTGCCAGATTCTGCACCTGGGATGGGGCAACCCTGGACGTACATACAGACTGGGGAATGAGATGCTGGAAAGCAGTGACACAGAAAGGGACCTGGGGGTCCTGGTCGATGGCAAGTTGAATGTGAGTCAGCAGTGCCCTGGCAGCCAAGAGGGCTAGCCGTGTCCTGGGGGGCATCAGGCACAACCAGCCGGTTGAGGGAGGGAATTGTCCTGCTCTGCACTGGTGCGGCATCACCTTGAATATTGTGTGCAGTTTTGGGCACTGCAATATAGGAAAGACATTAAGCTGTTGGAGGTGTCCAAAGGAAGGCAACAAAGATGGTGAAGGGCCTTGAGGGAAAGCTGTATGAAGAGCAGCTCCAGGTCTGTTTAGCCTGGAGAAGAGGAGACACCTCACTGCAGTTTGCAACTTCCTCATAAGAAAAAGGGGAGGGGCAGGCACTGATCTTTTCTCTGAGGTGACCAGTGACAGGACCCAAGAGAATAGCCTGAAGTTGTGTCAGGGGAGGTTTAGGTTGTATATTAGAAAAAAGTTCTTCACACAGGGGGTGGCTGGGCACTGGAACAGGCTTCCCAGGAAAGTGGTCACAGCACCAAGGCTGACAGAGTTCAAGAAGTATTTGGACAATACTCTCGGGCATATGGTGTGATTCGTGGGAATGCTCCTGTGTAGGGCCAGGAGTTGGACTTGATGCTCCTTGTGATCCCTTCCAGCTCGGCACATTCTGTGCTTCTGTTGCTATCGTGCAGCAGCACAGCTAACTTGCAACGCTGGGACTTGCTTGCTCTGGCTAAAGGAGTGAATAAATCCCCACAAATTGCTATAATAAAGATTCAGCCCACAGACTCTACGGCGTAAACACACATCTGGTCTCTGTTTGTAATGAAATCAGCTGAAAGCACCACTGTGCATTAATAACAAAAACGCTCAACATATTGCTACCAAATAAGCTCTGCTTGTCTTGAACTTCCATTGTCACATGTTAATGCACTTTTAACACTGATAAATGATGAAGTGCTAGAAAACATTCATCAAGGGACTTAAGAGTCAAGAGGTATGCATTACTCTGGCATTGTTTTCTATTCCATCAGTTCTGTTATAATTTGGGCAGAAGTTAAAAACAGAAAGTCAGAGGCACAATGCAAACATTTCACATTGAGCTTGCCTTTCTTTGGTAAGGATTTCTTAACTAGAGGGTTTATCCTGTGCTTGCGTGACATGAAAAATTCCTGGAAGATGCGTGAAAGGCAGTTTCCTTTTGCAACAAGTCAGTATGTTCCATATGTCCACCCACCTCCTCCTCCCTTTTTCTCCTTTTCTTGCCACAAACAAGAAATGCCATTCACTCTAGTTTAATTCCACTCTCCAGCTCCTCTCCTTTGCCTTCCCTTACCCTCTTTGCCTTAATTTCCATAAGACAATCATAGTCTTGCTTTCTCCTTGCAATTCCTGGCTACTATGCATAGCTCATCCTTTATGTGTGACCATCGATCCCTTTAGGTTCCTTGTGTGAAAAAAAAAAAAGGGGAGCTGAGGAAGGTCACTCTAGACTCAGAGCTGTCAACAAATGGGAAGGGTTTACCTTTTGAGTAATGTGGTTGATCCAGGGTGAAGAGCAGTTGCTAAGATCAGGTCCTTGGGGTTCCCAGATACCATCTGGTGCAAGACATCGGAAAGTCGCAACCCCTGCAATAGGAAAGCCATTGCATTCAATGTTATTGGTTACATTTTGCCCCCAGCTCACCACGTCACAGGCTTCATTTCACAGTGACATACACCTCATGCAAAACCTGGGAGCTTATTAGTGCTCAGGTCCTCAGTAGGACACTTCTAAGTCATCTCAGTGTCCTAGTCTCCCATCATCTTGATGCTTAGGGGCCCTAAGATGTAAAAGACCCACGAGGTAATGCAGGAACACTATTTCCAATTTGCCAAACAGAAACTACAGAGAAAAGACTTTGCCTTAGGCCAGGCAGGAAAGCTGCCCGGTACTAAGAAATCAAAACTAGATCTCAAACACTGAGCCAGCACCTTGAGTGCTCTGCCCCATCACTGGTGAATCCGGATCAGACCCTGTGCCTCCACTTCCTTTCTGCTTTCTGAAGATTTTATGGTTCTGAATCATCATTACACCATTTGGGTGGATACACACACAAGTTTGAAAGCTGTGAATGCCAAGATGTAATGCTGGGCTTTACTGTCAACCCCCAAGTGTCAAGAGGGACTTTAGAGGAAAGAGCTGTTTGGAAAGAGCTGCCCGATCCCTGCTGCAAAAGACAGCAAAGTGCCTCAGGCCCTTTCAGACAAAGAGAAATGCATCTGAAATGGTGCAGTTAAAGATCGTTAAAAAGCAAGAAAAACTTTCTGCCCCCAGAGAACTGAACTCTTCAGCAGACACATGAAATACAGGCTGGTCAGACAGTAGCTCCAATTAAAAGCAGTGAGAATTTGCTCATGCCTTCAAAGAGAGTTGGAAGAGACTCACTGCTAATATTCCACAGCTTTTAACAAGTTGCATGAAGCACAGAAATTAGAGATGGGAAAGGTTTATGGCCATCCCCTATCAATAAATTGGATTATTTTATTTTCCTTAGCTATTTTCATCCAATCCTTAGCTCCTGTGCTTACGAAAGGGCATCCTGCATCCAGCCTTCATCTTCACAGCTTTGGTTCAGAATATCCTTTCCCCTCTCTGGGAACCACATGATACTTTTTGCATTAATTTTACCAAGTAGGGCTGGGAAAGACAGCAAAAATGTTCTTTACCTATTCTCACCATTGATGCCTTTCCATGCCCCTCATACTTTAACAGGTATTTTATCAGTCTGTCCTCACCAAATTCAAGAGTGACTCAGTATTCATATACACAGGTGTGAATGGCTATCTAGGAATGGAGAATTAACAGAGATTCTTCTCTAGAAGCCAGATCCCCTCAGCCCTTATTTTCAGGCAACTTCCTCCACTTTAAGATTTCTCCTTTGCAAGCAATTTTTGGGGCTGGACACCAAGACTAGTGTGAAAAATAAACATTTTTAGAAAACTGCATTTGTTAAAACACAGAGAACTGAACCATATGCCAAAACCCATTCTTCATTTGATTGTGTTTTAAATTGAACAGAAAATTTCCAAAAGCAACGTTTTTCAAGAAAAAAATTGGGGGAAGAGTAGAGGAAAAGGGGCATAATCTTTCTTTTGAAAGATTTGGCCTTGTTTCTCTGCTGCTTTCTCAGCTGATCACACTGGATGCTGGCTGCAGTTTGAAAAATCACTCACACTGGTTCAGAAGCTTCAAAACACAAGTTTTGTTGACCTCCTCCCCCATCCCCTCTCTGCCCCAAAAGAAACAAAATATTAGCCATCATAAGTCAGTGAGTCCAGGGGCTACAAATACAGGCAAACCCAGGATAACAGGTGCATCATACATAACAGAGCATTTTACAGCACATCAAGTGCAACCCCACAGGGTCTTTAGTACTTGTACTCTCATTGGCCAGATGCTAAAGATCCTGCACAAGGTGCTCAGCATCTTGAGGCTTCATCCCCAGCCAGCTGCTTGCCAAACCTGACCAAGGGAACGCAGACCTGACAGAAGGCATCAGCGTGCTCCACTGGTGAAAGCTGCCCACTCACAACATGCCACGGGCAAGTGGAGACAGCTTGCTGTGCCCTCCCACCCCTCGACTCACCTATTGAGCCCATGGGACACGGCTGCTTCGCCACCTGGCCCTGCCGAGTCCGAGACCACATGATATCGCGGGCTTCCACGGGGTCGCAGCTCTCCGCACCGGCGGGCGGCAGCTGGGAGGAGGCGGGCGGGAGGTGCGTGGTCATCTCGTCGGGGACGTCGGCCATGGGCGATGGTGTGCTGGTGCTCCTGTTCCTCCTGCCAGAAGCCGAGGTGGTGGTAGGGCGGCCGGTGGTGCTGGTGGCCATCCGTGGTGTGGTGCTAGCAGTGGTGCTCCCCGGGCCCAGAGCCCCCGAAGTCGATACTCCTGAAACAAAGGCAGAGCTCGTTAAAGAGAGGAAGGAAAAAGGACTCAAGTCTACGTCCTGAGGACGTCCCCTCCAATGACTCTGGTGGCCTGCAGAGTTGTAGTTGGAGCTACAGGCTTGCTGTACAGCCGCCTTTCACAGAGAAGCTGGAACAAACAGTGCGAGAAGCACATAGAAGGGTAATGACCGCTGGAGCACAACTGATTTTCAAAAAGCACTAGCCTCTGATGAAAATAAAGCAGCGCTTTATGCCCTCACCATTTTTCTTCCTGGCATTTTAATGTAAAAATCTTATTTTCCATCTTTTAGGGAACACCTAGCACAGAAGTGCTTTTAATTTTTTAGTGTTGCTGAAGACCCAGCTGGTTTGGACAGAAAAACATTTTCCATGGTGTAATAAAAAAAAAAACAAACAACAAACAAACCACACCACAAATCTATCCCCAAAACCAGCTGTGAACAGAGGGATGAACACAAGACTGTTCTCTGGAGCAAGTCATTAATTGTCTCTGAGGTTCATGCCTTGCTGCTTCACCCCAAGAGCAGCACCTGGCCCCTTGAGCTGCAGGCCATGTGACACGTGCAAAGGTGCACATCAGCCCAGCCAAATCCTCGAGAGTGTAATGCTCAATGGGCTAATTCATTGAAAACCTGCAATGAGCAGTCAAGCAGCAAGAAGTGGCAAGCCTGCTTTAGAAGTGCATTAACCCATTGTACATCCTGCAATAGCCATGCCAAGTACTGTGTGTGGGGAATATTGAGGGATTCCCACCTTATAATTACCTTATTTAGCCTCCTATTTAGACCAAGGTGCTTGCACAGACTGGAGCTTCATATGGATTTCTTTATGGCTTGAACTGAAACATCAGGTGGGGAAACTGAAGCAGTTGGCCTCCAAGTGTTTCCCCATCACCCCTGTCATGCCATGCCACATACAGCTTGCGAAGAAGCCTGCTTCTCCCGTCTCCTTTGCCTCTCTCTAAGCACCCTTCTGCTTCTCTCAACCTAACACTTTTACTCCAGTTAAACACCAGATATTCATACGCCCCCTTAGTCCCTGCCTAGGGAAACTAGTTAGCCCTGGGGCTAACAGGGAAATGCAGGTAAGGAAGCCATACGAATAGGCTTGTCTGATACCATTCTCACTTTAATTCCCAGGCCATAACATCTCACTATCATACCACCTCCTCCAACATCCAAAAAGCCTTCAGTCACTGTTGCTCCATGTCCAGCAATGGGAATCTGAGTTTCTACACTAAAGACACCCATGTGTAAAGTCCAGCTTAGCCAAAAATTAATATTAAATGTAACGATTGTCCTGTCGCCCCAAGGAGTACCCTCTTAACTATCCTGCTGTGTGAGCAGGTTCAGCCTGCAAGCTCCTGAAAGGCCATCCTTTTTCTAGGTCCCTTGAAAGTCCCATGCTCACTACTTGTGCAATATTAGATAATAATGCATAATGGGGTGCATTTCAAGTATAGAGAGGCCTGCATTTGCTGTAAAATAGGAGATTTTCCATTCTGAAAGTTTTTTTCTGTTATTTAAGTAATTTAAGCCCATGGTGCTCTGAGCAACTCTCCTGCCGCAGAATACTCAATAATATGGTAGTTCAAGCACATACTTGCTCCGGTTTTACATAATTTTAATCCAAGTCTGAGACACCCTCTCATCAAACGTTAAAACTCAGCATCATCACAAACATAATTTTCTGAGGGATAAGTATTTTCCAAGACAATGTTCAGCTTTAAAATCCCAGCTCTACCGTGCCTTGGAAAACAGGATTATCTTCTCCTCCAGCCTTGAAAAAGGCGAGGAGCAGCAAAATAGGCACTAAATCACCTGAGCACCAGGACACTGATCTGAAAACGGGTCTCCCAACCCCAGTGATCAGATTTTCCAGCTTTCTCCTGCCACCTCCCTTTCACAATGAGCCCTGATTTTAAACAAACTCCGAAAAATACAATGTACAATCCTGCAGACCTTGACAGATTTCATCTAAATTTTGCTCAAAGCTGTGCTAGATCACAAAATGATAATTTCCATCTGACATTACTGGAAGGATTAAAATTTGTAGAGAACTTCAGCAAATTTCTGCTTTTACTACAGCAGGTCTTGCCACGAGTACGTGTTTTATTTCTTCATAATATAGACCAGCCTGGCAGATAGCAACCTGAAGAATTTTTCCCATTTACTCGTGCAATAAGAAGTTATTTTCCTTTTGCAAAATTAACTACGCCATGCACTACAGGCACAGAGGCAGTGAGCAGATATAGTGGATGCAGTTTCAAAGCCAAAACTAGCAAATCTCATTTAAAATAATTCTACAGTCATTTGTGAGCATATAGAAACACATACTAAGCACCCAGGAGCTCACCTTGATCCACACGCAGGAGAGCTGCATTTCTGAGCCTAGTTTTCATTGAAAATCACTGAATATCCCACAGCGTGCTGTTATTGGAATAACTCTGGCAAGTTTACTGTAGCAGTTAGGCACAAGGGATTTAATGGCATTTTCCTCCATCCATAAAAAATTGAGCTGTTTTATCTTCCATAAAACCCTTAGCACCAGTGTCAAAATCTCTTTGAGGGCTTGTTCTTCCAACTTTTTTCTTGTTCCACTGGGCTTTCTTACTGTTTTTAAAAATAAACACATCTACCATCTACATAGGACACGTTATAAAAAAGCTGCCTCAAAGTGGTCTCATGGAGTGAGACGGATGGGATATCACTGAACTGAGTTCAAAGGTTTGATTATCGAATAAGTCAATTTGGTAATGAGCTCCAGCAATCATGATCACCATGCTAACACCACCTAGTTTCACCGGCCCCAGGCAGCACCGCTTGCCAGTTTTGCTCACAGAACCGTGTGCTTCCATATGAAGTTAATTGGTAAGAAGCAAAAGAACAAGAGATCAGGATCATTTACATACAAATGATTCTCAAATCCAAGCATAACCACGAAGAGACTGCAACCTGTGCAAAATTACCTAAATCCTACATCACAGAACAGAGATCAAACCTCCAGATTAACTCAGGCTGCCAATAAACTGTGAATCTTTAACTCGGGGGAAGGCAGCATTGCAGCACTGCTTTGAGAGAAAGGTTCTTCAGATAATGCTTCACAATACAATTCTTACTCCAAGACAGGCACCTTTAAAAATCATCAACACTACTATAACCAGAAATGTTGATTATTTTACTTTTACTGTTTGTTTTTACCACACCTCGCCATATCAAGACTTTAAAGGCAGCTTCTGGGTAAGATTCAGTTTCTACTCCTTTCAAATCCAAGACTTGCAGTCTTCGATTCCACAAAGCACAGCGCTGGGACAGGAATTTTCAGTGCTCCCAAGAAAGCAAATTAGAGCTGTGGAAACATTTCTTCCCCAGAAACACCCCAAAGTGATACTTCACTTTTTTCTTCCCTGCCTTCCTTAGAAAGCTGGCACTAACAGTGGAAGACTAAATTTTGTAACCATTCAGATCAGAGCTGCAGCCATAAAAAAAACAAACCCAAAACATTTCCAGTGTCCACAAGGGAGTAACTGCAACTCCCAGAGGAGTTTCTCTCTACTTAGGGCACACTGACTAGCAAGAAAATAGAAATGTTGTGTTTTTTTTTTTCCTTCTTTCTTTTATTTCCCAACCTTTACATAGAGCTCATGCTTCTGGAGGCAGAATTTTGCTTGGTGAAAGGAAAATCACGGTAGGGATTTGCTCATGGGGAATAACGTTAAATAAATAATGGATTGTCTTTTTTCTTTTTTTTCCTTTTTCCTCCATTTCTGTTGGTTCCCCTTTCCTGGAGAAGTGACATGACAAGCGCACTACTGGTCTGAGACCAGTACTGTGTATTTGCCATCAGGAAAATCCAGCACACGTGTCATCTTATCTTCTGCTCTGCTCACCTCTTCCTGGTGCTCCCAGACACGTGGGATTGCATTCCCAAATGACTCTGACTAGTCTACTCCTATAACAAAAGCAGCTTTGATTGCAAGAAAGGCTATTTGTGACCTTTTCTATAATTTTTTTTAATTTTGGCACCCAAGTATCCAGTGCATGACCTGGTGTACTCAATAACTGAAAATACTTTTTAAGAGATGTCATGCACTTTCTGTCCCATGAATGAAGATAACTGGGGGCCCCTGGAGCAGAAATTGCAGACAAGATTTCCTGGGTGAGGCTCACTGGCTTTTGGTAGGTAACAGATGACAGAAGACATCCGTCAAGCTCTGCCCCTGGGGTTGCAATCCCAAGGTTTGGCCTGACGGCTACGTGGTACGAGCCAGCACTTGCTCACTAACTGGGAGAAGAGGCTGCACTCCAAGTCTCACGCTCAAGGTCCAAGCAAACCACGATGACTTCACTCTCCAGCAAGTTTTGCGTTCCCGAGCCTGACGCTCCCAGCAGACGTGGTGGGGTGTGGGCAGCCAAGAGCCCCTGCCTGCGCTGTGCTGCATCTCTGCAACACTGGACCAGCTAATCCAAGCAGTCCAACAGCAGCAATCCAAGCGCACCCTTGAGCATGTCCAGGCTGTGTGCACAATTATTTACACCTGTTGCTGCCGTGCTAAGACAAACAGAGCATTGCAGGATTCTGAAAGGCTGCGAGAAGCACAAAACCTGAAGGTCCCTCCCTCACTGCTCATTTCGCCCTTTTCATATTTGGCAACCACATCCTTTGCTTGCAGCATCCCTTTTATCATTTGTTCTTCTACTGAAAGATGGTGCAAGCTGTATTTACATAGCAAATAAGAAGGTTTAGGCATGCCTTGAAAGAAGCAGCACAAAACCCCACAAACCTAATACAATTGGAGGATTATATCACAGCTGTTTTTCTCTTCCCTGTCACATAAATGCATCTCACGGGAATTAATTTTCTACAGGCATTTTCAAATGCATTTCAGAACATTTTCTGAAACTCACTAGAAAAAAAAATTACTATTTGAAAGTAAATATATTCTCATTTTCTTTTGCCTTTTTGGATGTTTTTTCAAAG